TGGTTGCTGCTTGATGCAGGTTGCTAAGCCTTTTAAAATTTCACTCATGGAGGATATTTTTAGGTTTTATATATATACCAAAAAATCATAAATTACTATATCAATACCACAGAATTCCACTATAATTAATCCAGCTGTATTTGGGTCTAAAAAAATATGAAATTTCTAGCAGACTAAAGACACAACTTAACTCCTTAAAATCTTGGTTCAAAAGAATGAGATGGCACCTAACACATGAAAATGACTGAAAAGCCATTAGGAGGACATTCTGAGCTTTTGAAAGGTTATTCACATGTCATGTATTGAAGTAAGTGTATATAAGGGACAGTTTCTAAAAATGGAAAGAGGTGAGCAGGGCCATTGTGTTTGATTCAACACATGAGTGATATCTTAGCAAATAGAAAAGATATGAGGTTCTTATTTTATATTCTAGCTTATCAATATTGGTAATTTGAGTTCCTAATTTGTACGAAACTTTAGAACTTAGTATTTTAAATCACAAACATCTAATTTGAACCAGTGCTGCATTCAACATACCATGTGACACACAAAAATCAATTTTTAACTGTGTTTTTTAATATTTACTTTTAAATTAAGAAATTAAATAATGTATAATTCTAAAATTTATTGTGATAACATGGCCTTTGATCTGTGACCTGTCTGGAGAGGGTTAAGTCATTTTACACTTGACTATATCAAATTTTGTTTCATCAATAGGGCTGCTTTGTTTACATTCGACCTTATCGGGATAATTGTTTAAAGGGTAAAGAAAATAACCAAAAATAATGCATATAAATGAATATGAAATGGCCTTAAAACATATTACATGTATTAAATGAAAAGTTCAGATTAACAATGCAAAAAAAATTGGCTTGCTTATAATGCTGGTATAGTAACAAAGTTATTTTTATTGTACACTGATGATTGTAAACACAGTGAAACTACGTGTGGTGTTTTTAGATTGAAAATAAAGATAAAGGTGATAGTTTTATAAAATAATACTTTTATAGGAATGTTTTACAATAAAGTTTGAAGATATAAAAATCAGCAGCTAATATATACATATCTGCAACATAGATAAGCATTTTTAGTTGTTTTTTTACACATCACATGAAAATATTTTCAAATTTACAAATATCTCACAAAAATAACATATTTGCAGATGCTACATAATCTATAGAAAGTTCACCTGAAGTTTCAAGCTACTTCATCTAGTAGTTTTTGTTTCAGCAATGCAGTAAAATACACCATACAACAAATGTGTTGAATTGACATACTTGGGTGTGAAGGAGTTAAAAGTACTGGACATTTATGAGTATTGTATTCAGAATAACACATATTAAACTATATTTATTTAGAAAGTAAAACTTCCCCAAGTTATATAAGTTTTGGGTTATAACTGCATAGTACATTAAAAATAAGTGAGTCCAAGCTCTCAATGAAGGTAATTTTTTTTTTCTATAACTTTATTGAAACTTCATCAGGCAACATCATAAACATAACTCTCTTATTTGCAGTTAAGCTTTAAAACCGTATGTTACTCTAGAATCAGCTAACTTTAGGTACCACATCAGGAAAATCATTTGATAAGTCAAGAATGAATAATGTAAAGTATGAGAATTATCTCTTCCTCTTATTTTTAAGTCATTAAATAAACAGATACTTCTCAGCGTTTATTCATTTTGCTGGCAGTCCACAATGAGAGACATGTTGCCTAGGCAGTAGAGAAATCCCTTTTTCTTACATTTAGATAGGGAAAACTTTTATAAGCATCAAAGTAGTTATTACTGGGAGAAGAACAATGATTAAACTTCTTTCTTAATGATATGAAAAAGACATGGTTCAGTTAGATCACGGATAAATGTAAAAAATGTTTGGTAATAAACATTCATATCTTGATCTGCCAGAACTGATGTAAGCATATTTTGTTGTTTATATACACCTGGAAAAAAGTTAAGCACCCCCGTGTTTTTTTCAAGTGATTCAGATTCGACTTTCTTGTGACTGATTATAAATTACC